GGGGAAAGCAGATGAACAGATGCTCTCCATCTACCCCCAACTCTCTAGGACGTCTGGAATCCACAAATCCCCCCTTTTCTGCCTAATCCTTAAACCCCCCGCCTTTATCTACCCCACCCTATAGGAGATATGCCCAACACTGCCCCCATTATTATCCCAACATAACCAGGGAGTTTTCTGACACCCCCCCACCCCCAGGCACCTCCATAGTATCTATTATTGGATCCCAGGGCCACCTCCTCCAGGGTCCTGATACAGCTACTATGATTGACTCTGCTTTTCCATGAATACTTTCTGTCATCACTTTTCACAATACAGCACAATTCCACCCAGGAATCCTCCAACACCTTCAGGGAGCTCCCTGTTCCTTCCCCGAACTTCTCACTCAATGTGACCCCCCAGGATCCGCTATCTCTCCCCACACCCACCCTCCCTGCCGAGAGCTCACCATCCCATCATCCTTCCCACCATCATTTCTGGCAACACGTTGTCTTTCCCGTATCAGTTCTTCCCTAACACAATCAAGAAGTGTCCTGCTGTCCTTTCTAATAAGACCCAGTCAAGACCTGATAGTTTTTCTCAATTCCTCTTTTATTTCTCCCCGTCTCCTACAACCCCCTGGACCCTGCAACCTCCTAATACCTCCACAACTTAGAACTTAGGCGCCCCCTCCAGCGTGCTCCTCAGCCATGATCCCCAAACGACTCCCTGCCCCTTCTCATCAGGTCATCTGTGAGCACATCGGGTCCCCAGGACCCTTCCCCATCTCTTCTCAGAGTCCAGGCCCCACTGCTGTCTTACCTACAGCCAAGATCTGAAGTGCTGTCAGCAGGAGGAACATTCTGAGGGCTGGGGGTTGGATTCCAGCAGATGTAGAGAGAAAGTGAGGGTTAAGGAGGCTGCGAGAGACCCAGAAGTTATAGGTCAGAGACAGAGCGTCTTAGACAGAGACTAAGACCTTAGAGACATGGATGAGGGACAGAATAGAGGCCAGAAACGAGGAGGGCAGGGTCTGGGGGCTCCTTGGTGGCTGGAGAGAGGATGCTGAGATGGGTTCAGGTCCTGCCCTGATGTCTCCTGTCTGGAGGAGTGGGGAAGATGTCTTCCTTGTCACTCATGGAGGCCTTTTATCTCTGGTCTGAGTAGCTGACGCTTGTCCTCCGCCCTTCTGACTTTTTTTTTTTTTTATTGCCTACTTCCCATTCCAGGATAGCCTATCCCATCTCTTCTCTCTCCTCTCTCACCAGAGAAGTAGTCCCAATTGTTAATGAGAACCTGCCTGCCTGGTAGGTGAAGGTGTTGTAATCTGGAAGGAATCCCGGGAGGGGGACCCCAGGGCAGGGTGGACGGGGTGGGGGTGGGAGAGAGTCTGAGAGAGGGAGGGACAGAGACCGAGAGAGGGGCTGCCATGGGAGGAGAGGGAATCTAGGAAATGTGAGAGAAGTAGCATATGAAGGTGGAGAGGCAGAGAAAGAGTAAGAGAAATACAGGCCAGAGAGAGAAGAGTCAGAGGTAGAGAGAATTTAGGGAGACGGACAAAGAGCAGATGAATATAGATGCGGAAGGGAGGCAGATAGAAAGAGACAAAACAGATGGGGACAGGGCACAGGGGCAGACACTCATGGAGAGGTGAGTGTGGAAAAGTGAGAGACAGAAGCAGAAAAACAGAGGGAAGAAGGGGGAGGCAGAATAGAAACAGGCACAGAGAAAGAGAAAAAAATGAAGAGAGAGAAAAGAGGCAGAGGTACCCCAACTCCAAACACACTCATACAGAATAATAGCAGTGATGATGAAAGGAGGCCAAGAGATGACAGATAAGGAAGTGGTGATACAGGGAACAGTGAGGCGGAGATGCAGGCCCAGGCAGGGGACAGTGGGGAGATGGAGGGAGAGCGGGACGCAGAGGACACACAGCCGCAGAGGAAGAGAGAAGGGGGTGGGGGTGGGGAGCCGGCAGGAGACTGGAGGTGCTGGAGGCAACTGGTGCCAGGTGGTCCTGTCTCCTAGGCTCTCTGACCTTGTGGTCCACACAGTCCTGAAGGGTGGGGGAGCAAGGGCCCCGGCAGGGAGGGAGGGCGGGGGCTCAGGGCAGAACTTGTGCCCCCCAACTCAGGCTCTGCAGAGAGGTGGGGGGAGAGTGGGAGAGAGAGGGACCCAGAGAGAGGGGGACAGAGACCCAGAGAGAGGGGCACAGAGACCCAGAGAGAGGGGCACAGAGACCCAGAGAGAGGGGGACAGGGACCCAGAGAGAGGGGCACAGAGACCCAGAGAGAGGGGCACAGAGACCCAGAGAGAGGGGTACAGGGACCCAGAGAGAGGAGGACGGGGACCCAGAGAGAGGGGCACAGGTGGGGAATGGTTCCAGGCAGACAGAGGAGGGCCTGGGTTTGGGGGACTCATCCTAACTTTGGGCGGGGCTAGCTGGCCTCAGCCCCTCCCCCAGCCTCTTAAATTCCCTAATGACTGTGTCTGTCTCTGGGCTTGGGCAGCCCATCCGGACCACCACGCAGCGACTCAAGAGGCCACGTCTCTGCACCCTCCCTCCCTCACCAACCCCGGGGCTTGCTCCCAAACCACTTTCCTCCCCTTTCCCGCGGGCTGGTCTCTGCCCCTAGGGAGTCCCTCTGTGCCTCTGAATCCACGTGCCCACCTAGCCCCCTGTGCGTGTCCGTTTCCCGTGAACTGGCTCTGCTGAGGGGCCTCGCTGCTTTGAACTGAAGGTCTTGGCTCAGGCCCTGGTAAACCAGAAGGGCGAGATGCACGAACAGAAACCCCTCTGAAGGCGTGGGGCGGACAGGCAGCTGCCCTGCGAGCGTTCAGATCCGCATCTTGATGCCACTGTGGTTACACGGATCCACACTTGCGATAAAATGACCCAGAAACACACGTGCACATAGGTGCACGGGCAACTAGATGCACGTAGACAACGAACACCGAATGAGACCTGTAGTCCCGTCAATAGCACGGTACCCTCGTCGATTTCCCGACTCTGAGTTTGGACTGCAGTTATCTGAGCTGTCAGGACTGGGGGAGGCTGGGGGAAGGGTACTGGGACTCTGTACTCGCTGTGCAGCTTCCTGGGAGTCTATCATTATTTCCAAATAAAGAATTAACAACAAAACAAATTCCTGGTAAGCGCAAGCCCTGCCCCCCTCCATTTGAGCAGAAGGCTGTGATTTGGGGGACGCGTGGGGACCCTCTGCTGAGCTAGAAGGCTTAGGTAAACCTGAGATCTCCCTCTTCCTAGAAAGAACACTCAGCTCGAGCACAAGCCCCGGCAAACCCCAGGGAGCGCAAGAAAAAAGCGCTGGGGATGCAACCACGAATAGGGCTCAGTTAACTGCCTTATCCTCCCCGTTCCAGCCCCTCGTTCCCTCGGTTCACTGCCAGGCTACTCATTCCCCTCCCGTCAGACTCCACTCTGGGCTGCTTTGCTCCCTACTCCACCCGCCACAGGACTGTTTGCCATGACAGGGGGCCTCAAAAAATATTTGATGATGAATGAATCCATGAACATATGGCCACAGTCCTTGCCTTCAAGAAACTCACAGTCTGGCAGGAAAGGCCTAAGAGGCAACAGGAAAGTCAGTCTGGTGTGATTTGTGCTCGAATGGGGGTGGGGGGTGGGAAGGGGTGGCAGTGATGAAGGGCCTGATGAAGCCCCAGGGGCGGGGACAGTGTTTGCAGAGGGCGGCCTGTCTAAGCTGGGTACCGCGGCTCAATATTATAAAACAACCTAAATGGGAGAAGAATTTGAAAATACGTGTATATGTATAACTGGGTCACTTTGCTGTACACCTTAAACTAACACAACCTTTTTTTGTTGGTGTCTGTTTGTTTGTTCGTTTTAACATCTTTATTGGAGTATAATTGCTTTACAATGGTGTTAGTTTCTGCTTTATAACAAAGTGAATCAGTTATACATATACATATATCCCCGTATCCCCTCCCTCTTGTGTCTGCCTCCCACCCTCCCTATCCCACCCCTCTAGGTGGTCGCAAAGCACCGAGCTGACCTCTCTGTGCTATGCGGCTGCTTCCCACTAGCCATCTATTTTACATTTGGTAGTGTATATATGTCCGTGCCACTCTCTCACTTCGTCCCAGCTTACCCTTCCCCCTCCCCGTGTCCTCAAGTCCATTCTCTAGTAGGTCTGCATCTTTATTCCCGTCCTGCCCCTAGGTTCTTCATGACCTTTTTTTTTTTTTTTTAGATTCCATATATATGTGTTAGCATATGGTATTTGTTTTTCTCTTTCTGACTTACTTCACTCTGTATGACAGACTCTAGGTCCATCCACCTCACCACAAATAACTCAATTTCATTTCTTTTTATGGCTGAGTAATATTCCATTGTATATATGTGCCACACCTTCTTTATCCATTCATCTGTCGATGGACACTTAGGTTGCTTCCATGTCCTGGCTACTGTAAATAGAGCTGCAGTGAACATTGTAACACAACATTGTTAATCAACTATACTCCAATACGAAATTAAAAGTTAAAAAAAAAGAATTTCCAGCTTTAAATTGTCAAAAAACAAAACCCAAAACAAACCCCACACATGTACTGAGGTCTTGGTTCAGCCAGGTGCTGTGTCATGTTCTTCTTTCTGCTTTTTTTTTAATGTTCAAAACTTTTTTAAAAATAAAATTTTTTATTGTGGTGAAGTATAATACATACATAACATAATAAATACATAAATATAATAGATACATAACATAAAACTTACCATTTAAAACATTTTTTTAAATATATTTTTATTTATTTATTTATTTTTGGCTGCGTTGGGTCTTCGTTGATGTGCTCGGGCTTTTCTCTAGTTGCGGCGAGCGGGGGCTACTCTTTGTTGCGGTGCACGGGCTTCTCATTGCGGTGGCTTCTCTTGTTGCGGACCACAGGCTCTGGGCGTGCGGGATTCAGTAGTTGTGGCACACGGGCTCTAGAGCGCAGGCTCAGGAGTTGTGGCGCACGGGCTTAGTTGCTCCGCGGCACGTGGGATCTTCCAGGATCAAGGATCGAACCCATGTCCCCTGCATTGGCAGGTGGATTCTTAATCACTGCGCCACCAGGGAAGCCCCTTAAAACATCTTTAAATGGCATGCAGTACATTCACCTGGTTGTGCAGCCTTCACCATCCGTCTCCAAAACCTTTTCATCTTCCCCAACTGCAGCTCTGTCCCCATGAAACACGGGCTTCCCATCCTCCCTCCCCCAGCCCTGGTAACCTTCATCCTCCTTTCTGTCTCTATGAATTTGACTACTCTAGGTATTTCATGTAAGTGTCATCATGTAGTCATTGTGTGATTATCTCCTGTGTGTCTGCCTTATTTCCCTGAGCATAATATCCTCAAGGCTCATGTCAGAATTTCCTTCCTTTTTTTATACTTTGTTTTGCTGCAGCATGCGGCATGCAGAATCTTATTTTCCGGACCAGGGATCCAACCTGCACCCCCTACAGTGGGAGTGCAGATTCTTAACCACTGGACCACCAGGGAAGTCCCAAGAATTTCCTTCCTTTTTAAGGCTGGATCATACAACACCGTGTGGATAAGCACAATTTGTGTATCCAGGTCACTTCTTTATGTGGGTTAGCTTCTTTCGTTCCTCCTTCCCTCCCTCCCTTTCTCCCTATCCTTCCTTCCATTCAACAAATATTTCTTGAGCACCTACTGGGTATCAGGCATGGTTCTAAGTGCTGAGGATATAGCAATAAACAAAATAGATGGAGATCCCTACCCTCCTGAGGCTTCCATTGTGGAAGGAAAGGCAACCAAGCAAAAGAAAGTTAAATAAGCACAAGTTATGAGTGCTAAGTGCTAAGGAGGAGGTCAGTGTCCGGGGAAGGCCTGCCTGAGGCGATCTTTGAGCAAAGACCTGCAGATTGTCAGGGATACTGGGGGAAGACTGTTCCAGACAGAGAGAGCAGCATGTGCAAAGGCCCTGGGGTGGAAGGAGGGCTGATGTGTCTGGGGACCAGTGAGGAGGCCAGTGTGGCTGGTGCAGCATGGGCCAGGGAAGAAAATAGAAGGAAATGAGGGCGGGAGTTTGCAGGTGGGGTGTGGGTCGGGTGGCCAGACGTGGAGGGAGGGCTGGGCCAGGGAGACGGGGAGGCCCGGGCCAACTCATCTCAACGGGCACCTGGCTGGGGAGGGGAGGACGGCTAGCAGGTTCCCGGGTGAGGTTGGTGACCAGGAATTTAAAGAGGCGTCCTCGGAGCGGCTGGGTGATTTTGTTTCGTTTTCCTCCAGCAAAGGACAGTGGGAGGGGGTGTGGCAAAGGGGCGGAATGTAGGGGTAAAGGAAGTGCAGAAAGAAGGGCCTTGGTGGAGGGAGGGCTGCACACAGAGGGTCAGGGTGTCTTTGCGGTGGAAGCATGGGAGGCTGTGGTCAGGGAGTGGGACGTGGGCTTTTGTGGTTTTAGGGGTGGAGCTCTTCTGATGGAGGTAGCGGCCAGGGTGTACCTGTGGGAATGGGTGATGGGGGAGGTGGTCTCCGGCCACCTGGAGGCTGAGGGACTGTGAAGCCAGGGGGTCCTCTCTCCTGGGGGCTCCTGACTCCCTGTCAGCAAATGCCTGTCTCTATCTCCATTTATAATACAAATCTGGCAGGTTGTCAAGGACTTTCCATACATTATCACATTTAATCCTCACAAGAGCTTTATGAGGTTAGGGTTAGGGTTAGGGTTAGTACCGCGTTAGAGATGAGGAAACTGGGTCTCAGGCAGAAGTCACTTGTGCAAATGGCATTAGCCGGGATTGGGAGCTGGGTCATCTGGCTGTTAAATGCCACGCCATTCTGTCTCCAAATCTGTCTCCATGCCATCGAGGGCGGGGAGTTCTCTGCTGGATCCTCGTCTCCTGGAACAGCCCCAGCGTCTGAGAGTTCGTGCAAAGAGTGTTTCTGGTATGTGCAAATGGACCCTCACCTTGGGAATTTCCTGGCAGTCCAGTGGTTAGGACGCCACCCTTCCACTGCAGGGGGCATGGGTTCGATCCCTGATCAGGGAACTAAGATCCCACAGGCTGCCAAAACAAAAAACAAAACAAAACAAAACAAACAAACAAAAAACCAAAGGACCCTCACCGTTGTCTTCTGTCCCCCATCAGCTCTTGGTTGGCAATTTCTCTAGTACCTCCTAAGTGTCACGTCTTGCTTAATTCCCCCATTGGCCCTGTGAGGGGCACACAATCACACCCATTCTACAGATGCGGAAACTGAGAGAAATGAGGTCAGTTGCCCAACAAGCAAGTGGTGGAGCTTGGATTGGAACCCCAGTCCATCTGACTCCATGCTCCTCTGCTGCTGATTCCATGTGTCTCTTTGATTACGCGAACTCTCTCTGGGTAATCTCTTAGATGGCTCTGAGTCAGCACCTGAATCTGCTACATGCCAGGCAGCTTCTGCATACACACCTGGGTGTCCCTGATGCCCCGTCAACAGCCAACGAACATCTCTGCCCCACCTCCCTCCATCTCCATCATCAATCACTTATTTCCCTTTGTTGGCGGTGACACCATCCTCTCCCCAGTTGCTTCTGTCAAAAGCTGGGAGTGGTCCTTGATCCCTCCCTCACGCCCACTTCCTACTTTGGCAATTCACGTCACCTTAGTGTCAAAATAGACACTGAGTCCACCCACTTACTCCCTCTCACTCACCCTTGTCCAAGCTACCCTTATATCTCACCTGGACAGGTGCAAGAGCATGCCAGCTAGTCTCCCTGCTTCCACATTCACGTTCCCACCTGCTTCCACATTCACGTTCCCACCTCCCCCCACTCCTACCCCACACTAAGTTCATTCTCCACTTGGCAGGCAATGTGTTCTTAAAATATAAAAGAGTATCATATTAAACCCTGCTTAAAGCCCATCTATGATTTCCCACTGCAATTGTAATAACACCTAAACACCTCCAAGGCACTCTGTGTCCGGCTCTCCAGCCTCACCATTCCGTCACGCACTGTGCCTCGGACCCCCTAGACTTCCTTGACTTTCTTGACATGGTAGGTGCCTTCCCACCTCAGGGCCTGTCTCTGCTGTTCCCTCTGCCTGGGACACGTGTCCCATCCCTCTGCCCATGATCACCTTCTCTAGAGTAGACATTCCCTTCTAGTTTCTATCTCAGCCCCTTGTTGGTTTCCTTCCTATGTCTCATTTCAATCTATAATTGCTTTATGTGTTTGCTTCCTTTTTTGTTGTTGTTTTTTCTCTGTGGCATTTATCACCATTGGATGTCCCTCGTGTTTTATTTATCTCCTTTTCTGTGTAGTCTATCTCCCACAACTTGAGTGCCATCTCTGACAGGGCAGGGGGTTTTGCCTGCTTTCTTGGCTTCTGTTCCCTGGCACATAGTAGGTGCTCAGTAAACATTTATGGAATGAAGAAACATTTCTCTCACTCAGACTGAGGCTTCATGAGGGCAGGGACGTTGTCTAAGGTGTTCACTGCTGAATCCCTGGAGCCCACTCCGGTACCTGGCATGTGCTGGGGCTCTATGAAAACAGGCTGAATGAGAGTGACATTATTGAGAGCCTTCCTCTCCCCAGAATCCCTGCACCCAATGCCCCCACATCTTCAGACCTGACAGGAACCTCTAATTACCCAGCCCTGGGAGAGCACGCACAGGGGGAAGGTGGGGAAGCCCATCTTTCTGAGATTGGGTTCTAAATCCTTGCAGGGAAGAATGCTTCTGACTCCAGGGGACGGTACCTTAAGGTGTGGGGAGCCTCATCAGTCCTGGTCCTTTCACAGACATTCGATAAGTATAAAGGACCCCTTGTGTTTAGGTAAGGGCTGCCTTCACCAGGGCCCATGGGCTCCCAGACAGAGAGCCCACTGAGGGCAGGGACTGGGGCTCACCCAGCTCTGTTTCCCCAGTGCCCCATGCAGGGCCTGGCTCCTGGGAGATGCCAGCAGACGTTGGCTTCGTGAATAAAGGGGTGATCCTTATCACTCCTCTGCCCCCAAATCTCCTGACCTCCGCCCTAGCCAGAGCCCTGCTCCGTGATGACTAGGCTTCGTGCCTGGGCAACACCCGCGCCCCACCCTCCTTGTTTACCACGACTTTCTCCCTCAGAAAGACTCGGCTGTGCTCACCACGGCCATCTGCCTAAGTGGCAAACATCTTTATTTTTGGTCAGCCTGTCTAGGAGAGGTTTCTCTTGTATTTACAGTTTTGGGGGTTTAGGCAGGAGCTCTTAATACTTACAAAGCACACCCTAGAGTTTAGTAGGATTTCCAGACTTCTTAAATAGCCCTCATCTCTGTTCCCACCATTCCCACCCCCTAATGGTTTTGGCTTCTCCCTGGCCTCTTGGCCTTTAAGTCCCCCTCCCCCAGCCCCACCCCACAGTCCTCCTAGACACAGACCCAGAAGGCTCTTTCTGACACCCGGGGCGAGGCCTGTCTGCTCTAAACCCTTCCTGGTGCCCCATCACCCCAGCGGGAAATCTGCCTTGTGCAATGGCATTCTGACCCTCTTGGGGGTGGGGTGGGGGGACGCTGGCCGTCCTCACCAGCTCCTACCCAGGCGTCCTGCACCAGAAGCAGCCATTCCGCCCGGTTCACGGTGTGTCCTTCCCTGCAGGCTTTCCACCTGCTGTTCTCTGGGCCGCAGGTGCACCCGTCCTCCTCCACCCTTTTCCCCGTGCTCATTCTTACTCATCTTCTCGGGCCTGGTTTAAACACTACCTCCTTCAGAAAGCGTTCTGTGACGCCCCACGCTAAGTTGGTCGCCCCACCTCTGGGCTCCCCTGTGCCCTTACTAACCCCCGCCGTGACACGTATCCCTTTGGGTCTTGATTTGCCAGTGTCGGTCCGTGCCGCCTCCCCCATCAGACAGAGAGCCCACTGAGGGCGGGGACTGGGGCTCACCCAGCTCTGTTTCCCCAGTGCCCCGTGCAGGGCCTGGCTCCTGGGAGATGCCAGCAAATGTTGGCTTCGTGAATAAAGGATGATCCTTTATCACTCCTCTGCTCCAAAATCTCCGTGGCTTCCGCCTCAAAATCACAGCTGCGCCCATGCAGTCTGGCCCCTCTTACCTCTCTCCTCCAGTTACCCGCTCCACCACTCGCCTGCCTCCCTTGGCGTGCGCACACGCTGTTCCCTGGCCAGCATCGCCCTTCCCGCACATCTGCAGAGCCCACTGCCTCACCCTGTGTGGGTCTCTGCTCAAATGTCGTCTTCTCCTCGAGGTCTGCCGTATCCACCCTACATACACGTGTGGCATGCTTCCCATCCTCCGATTAATCAGTTTATCACCATCTGACACACTACATACTCTACTTATTTTCCTCCTTTTCTGGCCTCTCCCATGAGGGCAGGTTTTTGTTTTGTTCATTGCTGTCACAAATTGGGTGCTCAATAAATATTTGCAGAATGAATGAATGAATGAATGTACACATGGATCTTGAGGTCATGGAAGGTTTCCAGTGTTCACAGGGGACCTTCAGGTTTCTGCCAGACTGTGTCTCTCGCCCTTGGAGGCGGGCTCAGGCCAGGGGGACCGGTGGGGAGGTGGGAGGAGAGAGCAAAGCTCCCCAGCCAGGCAGCGGAAGGAAAGACTTTGCTCTTCCGTCAATGGCCACCCAATGCAAGGTGTGGTCAGTGACCCCCTTGTGGTTGGAGCTGAGAACAGCATTTTCCCCAGCTCCCACTCGAGGCCCTCTCGTCACATTTGCCACAGAACCGTGGTTGAATCTGAATAGAGACGGGTTGTAAGCGTAACATACACACCGGATTTTGAAAACTTAGTACCAAAAAAACGTAAAACACCCTCAAGGTTTTAATTAATTTATTTATTTTGGGCTGTGCTGGGTCTTCGTTGCTAGGCACGGGCTTTCTCTGGTCTACTCTGCCTTGTGGTGCGCGGGCTTCTCATTTCTGTGGCTTCTCTTGTTGCGGAGCACCGGTTCTAGGCGCGTGGGCTTCAGTAGCTGTAGTTCGGAGGCTCTAGAGCGCAGGTTCAGTAGTTGTGGCACACAGACTTAGTTGCTCCGCGGCATGTGGGATCTTCCCAGACCAGGGATAAAACCGTGTCCCCTGCCTTGGCAGGCGGATTCTTAACCACGGAGCCACCAGGAAGTCCCATCCCCAAGGTTTTAAAATATTGATTACATGTTAAAATAGTAATATTTTGGATATAGTGGGTCAAATAAAATACATTATTAAATTTTCCCCTCCCCCCCCTTAAAAACATGGCTACTCGTAATTTTGAAAGTACACATATGGCTCGCATTATATTCCTATTGGGTAGTGCTACTCTAAACCACAACAGAAATCTAACCAACCACCCACCTCCTGGTGTGAAGGTGTGAAGGTGTGACGGGAGAAACTCGGTTACAGAAAAGTCCCTTGCCCCAAACCACAGGGTCAATCAGTGGCCGACCTGCAACAAGGGCCCAGGTCCTCTTGCTTCCAGCAGGCGGCATAGCAAAAAGGTGCAAGAGCCCTAGCTCTTTGCTGCTGTGTGACCTTGGGAAAGTCACTTCACCCCTCTGAGTCAAAAATTTACCCTTTGTAAAATTGGGGATCAAAACGCAACGAAGGGGCTTCCCTGGTGGCGCAGTGGTTGAGAGTCCGCCTGCCAATGCAGGGGATGTGGGTTCGTGCCCCAGTTTGGGAAGATCCCACATGCCGCGGAGCGGCTGGGCCCGTGAGCCATGGCCGCTGAGCCTGCGCGTCCGGAGCCTGTGCTCCGCGGCGGGAGAGGCCACAACAGTGAGAGGCCCGCATACCGCAAAAAAAAAAAAAAAAAAAAAAAAAAAAAAAAAAAAAAAAAAAAAAAACGCAACGAAGGAGCGTTCCGCAGTGCCTGGTGCAGTAGAATCATTCCAATTGACCGTGATCATCTTGCGCCCCCTAGAGCCCGTTCTCTCCACCGCAGCTGCAGGGATTTTTAGAAAACGGAGACGGGCTCCTGCCTCTGCGAGATGTTGCAGGACCAGCCCTGGCTACCACCTGATCTCAACTCTTGCTCTTCTTCTCCCTGCCCACTCTGCCCTGACCACACTTCCTTGCTGTTCCCTGGACTTACCAACTTTATTCCCACCTCTGGGCTTTTGCATCGGCAGTTCCCTCTGCCTGGAAAGCTCTCCCCCAAGATGGCTTTATAATTCACTCCTTTGCTTTATTCAGGTCTCGGCTCAAATGCCACCTCCTCAAAGAGGCCTTGCCCTGACCCCTATGGACACTGGCTCTTGCTGTCTCCCTCCCTCTTTATCCTGCTTTATTTCTGTTGCATTAATCACTATCTGACATTTTATTTTTATTGACTTACTGTCTGTTTCTCCCAGATTGTGAACTTCACGGGGGCAGGGGCTTTTTGTCTTTTGCTCACTGCAGTATTCCTAGCACTTGGCACTTGGGCCACAGATGAGGTGCTCAATAAACATCTGTCGAATGAATAATTATCCTGATGCTCAGTTAACTCACGGAGGAGGTGGGGCCTCTGGTCCCTGCCTTCCAGCCCAATCTAATTAGGAAAAGCGAGCCCCAAAGAGTGTGGATGGCTGGAGGACAGGACCCAAGGGCTGGGGTTTGGGAGAGTCCTAATGTCCTGGGCTGGGCAGGGTGGGAGGAGAGAATCAGGGATGCTTCCAGGAGGCCCCTGGAGGATGTGAGCTGGAAGATGGGAAAGGAGGGCACTCCTGACAAGGAACCAGCCCAGCACAGCTCGGAAGTGGGACTGAGGACACCAAGTCTCCCCAGGGGTCAGGCAGGAAGTTTCTGAGCCTCACACCTGTCTGCACCGGCAGGGAGGCAACCCTGCAACCCAGAGCCCCCCGGGGGGCCGAACTTTAATGTGAACAACGAAGTTGGACACCATTATCAAATACTCACAACAGTGCTTTGCTAGGAGGCTTTGATTCCATTCTCAGAGGAGGAAATGGAAGACCAGAGAGGTTAAGTCACTGACCCAGGTTCACCCAGCTCTGCCTCCAGAAATCTGAGGTCTGGGGAGCTCACCCAGCGGCTCCCCACCCATCACACAGAGACTCAGGTGGTGGTGGGCGGGGAGAGTGGGGGTAAGGGCTAAATACACCGTCTTGAGGAGCCCCAGGCAGACCTGGGTGTGAGCCCCCAGTTGGGGCTCCAGCGAGGTGACCTCAGGCCAGTTATGGGGCTCAGGCTACAGCCAATGAGATAGTGGTGAGGATGAAATGAGATGATCCAGCGCCTGCCCTGTACACAGCGCTCACACAGAAGCATCACGATTGCTGTAACTGACGTGCCCATCACGTTACATGGTTTTGCTTATCCCACTGCAGGCAAACATGAAACATGAGGCACACAGTAGGCGCTCAAGAAGGGTCAGGACTATCTGAGCACGCCCAGAGCCCCACAGAGGTACAGGCAAGCGGCCCCCTAATTCCCACTCGCTCAGGAATGCAAAGTTGTACAGCTCTCTCCTCTCTGAGGCCCAGGGGTCCCCCAGACACCCAGGAGTCCTCCGCAGCCCCAGGAGCCCAGAGCCCCAGCTTCTGCAGGACCACAGGTAAGAGGTTCCGACCCCTTCCCAACCTCACACCGAAGCCCGGGCTAAGGTAACTCGGGTTCCTTCACAGTGTCATTTACAGGCGGCCCCGCACTCCCACGTCGTCGGATCCCAGCGGAGAACTGGAGTCTCTAGAAGCCGGGGATGGGCTCTGAAGTCGGGGGTCCGGACGGCTGTGGCTCCCGCGGCGACCCCTCCTCGTCCAGCCCCCGGCGGCCCTTGCCGATGGCCAGGCGGGGCCGGCCGCGGTTCAGGCCTTCCAGGAGGGCGCAGGCCTGGCAGAGCGCGCGGCTGGCCAGCGCCCCGCAGCGGGAGCAGGCGCCGGGGGGCGGGGGCCGCGCGGCCGGGGCCAGCGCCAGGCGCTCGGCCGAGTGCACGAGGTCCAGCACCGCCGACGGCCGCGCCGCCTCCAGCAGCTTGAGCAGGTCGCGCGCGTGGCCGCGGAAGGCCTCGGGCGCGTACACGCACTCCTCGGAGAAGTAGTCCAGGCGGCGGAAGTGCGCGTACAGCACCACCTCCTTCTGCGAGGCCAGCTGCAGCGGGCGGCAGCGCGGCAGGGCGCCCCCCTCGCCCGGAGAGCCCAGGCCCCCGCCGCGCGCCAGCCGGCCCGCGTCGCCCCGCAGGAAGTTCATGAGCACCGTCTCCGCCATGTCGTCGGCGTTGTGTCCTGGGGGAGAGACGTGAGCCGGTGAGGAGGGGGCGCGGGGGCCGGCGGGTCCGCGGTACCGTGGGGCGGCCAGGGGGAGGCTGCGGGTGAACCCCGCGAGAAAGGAGAGGGGAACACACCAGGCTCCCGTGGAGCAACTTGGGATGCCCTCATTTGCCCCCCTCTTATTGCAAACCAGGCTCTGTGCTCGGTGCCCTTTCAGGTAGTGAGTAACACTGCTTTACGCTACAGATACAATTTCAGTCTAGTGAAGTGTACTTCAGACCGCACAGACATCAAAATGGCATTTGATGGAGATGCTCAAGTGGGCTGTTGACACAAGTGCCTCTGGGAATGCAGATTATGGTATTTAGAAGGACCAGGGAGAAAGTAAGTGCATAGTTACACAACAGTCACCATAAATTTGAAGCTGAATCTCTGCTTATTCTGTAACTTGTCATCTTATACTTGGGTCTATAGTAAAACACCGGTCTTACGGCTTCTCAAGTCGGCCATACTTTCCCTCCTCAAGGCCTTTGCATAAGCTGTTTCCTCTGCTCAGAACCTCTCCCACCCCCTTTTTGTCCTTCACCTAGTTACCCACTCGGCTTCAGGTCTCTGCTCACTCAGGAAACACTTCCTTAATCCCCACGTTTCTCCCTTCACTAGGTCCTCCTGTGTCATTTTCCTTAGTGGCACAGGAAATAATTATAATCAGGTTATAATTACGTATGTGAGAAACGGACAGGAGCAGAGACTGTGTTGTGCATCATCATAACGGCAAACATTTATATGTTTACCGTTTCTCAGTGTCTTGTCTAAGTGCGTCATACGTAATTCCCATAATTCATCTAATTCCCAGTAACTCAAGGTCCTAGATAGTATTAATATCCCCATTATATAAAAGAGGAAACCAAGGTTAGGTAGTTTGTTCTAGGCTATATAGCTTGCATCTGGCACACAATAAATGGTCAGCAGTTATTTGTTTAAGTAATGATTGGTACAGAGAAAGTGTTATCAAAGAGGAGAAGCGAATAGAGAAAAGGACACAGTTGCGTTCAGACTAGATGCTTCTGATGGGAGATGCCCCTTCATACCCCTCCTTTTGTGACAAGGGACACAATGTCATAAAAAAATAAGCGCAGAGAAGCACAGCCCTAGCCCCTAGAGAGTACCCTACCACCCCTCTATTTGCCAGCGTGTGTGTACAAGGATGATGGCAGTGACTCAAAAGCTTACGATGCCCAACCTGGACACGCACATACTATGAACCTTCAGTGTGCATGCACAGCCCCTCCTCCTTTTTTAGCGTCTCCAATTAGGATATACGCAGTCTCCTTTACGACCTCTGGGGCATGCGCCTCAGTGGGCTTACAGTGTCCGCCCCTCGCCCGCGCATGCGCCCGTTCCTCCCACCGCGCCCCTCTGTGCCGCGCCTGCGCTCACCCGTCACGACGTGCGTGGCTCCCACGCGGCGCGCCCCTTCCTCCAGCGCCCGGCGTCGCAGCACCCCGCAGAAGGTGCAACAGGAGCGGCTGCGGCCGGAGCCGGCCGTGCTGCGGGCCACGGCGTCCATCGTCCAGCCCCCGAAGAGCTCTGCGTAGGCCACGACGGTGAGCGGGAGCTCCCAGCGTGCTGCTTGCCGCCGCACGGCCGCCAGCGCCGCGTCCCGGTAGCCGCCGATGCCCTCGTCCACGGCCACGAGGTGCAGCGAGATGCCCAGGCGCGGGGCCAGCTCGCGCAGCACGTGCGCCAGCACAGTGGAGTCCTTGCCGCCCGAGGCGCCCACGGCCACCACGGCGCCGGGCGGCAGCAGGCGGCCCGCGACCACCGTGTGCAGCACCTCGGCCTCGAAGGCGGCGCAGAAGCAGGTGGTGCACAGCGCCTGGCCCGAGCGCGGACGGCGGAGGGCGGCTCGCGCCTTGTGGCAGGAGGCGCACTGCGGGGCGGGCATCGCGGGGTCCAGGCGAGGCGGGAGGGTCGGCTTCTCCTGGATGGGTGGAGAGGGGAGGCGGGTTACACGTGGATTCCGGATTGCAGGAGTCCTTGCCTACAGAGAGGCTGCTTGCGTAGTGTCTCTGCCAGGAATAATGCAGGCCGAGTAGGCCTTTTCCAGAGTAAGGGAGGGTTATACGTATACAGTTGACCCTTGAACAACACGGGGGCCAGGGACGCAGCCAAAATCCGCATAACTTTACAGTCGGCCTTTCTGGTTCCGCATCCGCGGATTCAACCAAACCGCGGATGGTGTAGTACTGTATGTATTTATTGGGAAAAAAAAATCAGAGTATTAGGGGACCAGCGCAGTTCAAACTCATGTTGTTCAAGGGTCAACTGTATTCTACTTTAAGGAAGCTAGTGCCTCCAGGAAGGCTTCTTGGATTACACCCATTACACACCAAGAAGAGAAGGAGCTGGTTGGGAGAGGTGGAGGGGAGAGGGAGAGACAGGCAAGTTACACCCAGAATTAGGTCGGATTCTGTTTGGAGGGATGGAGGTGCCTATTAAGGGCCAGTTTCACAGTCTCCAGGGAGGCCAGCCCTTTTACAACCCTGGTCAGAAGGACAGGGTGCTTATCACTGACCTGGGCTCCCAGGGCCGTTCAGAGAGCTTGGGAGGGGTCAGTGATCTAAGAACAGAGGGAGTCCAGGGAACTGCAGCTCTGTTAGGGGAAGGGGAATGGACAGAAAAGACTAACTGGATTTCACTTTGGTGGGGGTGGGATACTGTCTCTAGGCATTGGTCCCGATTGTATCCTCTGAAAGGCAGGGCAGTCATCTCCTCCAGGGAGACACAGAGGCAGCATGGGTCGTACCTCCAAGGAGATCAACTGTGGCTTCTTCTGTTTTGGGGGCGGAGGGAGGGCGGGGTGTGGGCCTCCAGGATTGCTGTGGTCTCAGAATCTCCCGAAAGCTTCTGTGGCCTTACCGAGACTTGGATCAGCCCAGTTTTAACTCATTTCTGTTCCCCCCACCTCATCCGTCCCCACCCAGCCAAAAATTCCAACCCTCTCTCCTCGGACCCACCTGCTTGAGGAGCCCATGAAAACCCACCAGACCGAGTCCCTCCTCCCCAAGCCACCACCATCTCCAGGCTGAACTAGTGCAGTAGCCCCTGAGCAGGTCACCCTGTTTCCAGGATTTACCACAATGTGTGGAATCATTTTATGTGACTTGTATGTTTACTGCCTGTAACACCAATTAAGGACCGGTGCAACCCAGACGTCTGACAGGCATCTCAAAACCTAGACTCCTGATTCCCCTTCCCAAACCTGCTTCTCTTGCGGTAAAGGGCAGCTCCATCCCTCCAGCTACTCAGGGCAGGAGCCTTGTGGTCCAGGACCCACGACTGCTCTTGCTTCTCACTCTCCCTGTGGGTGACTCCCAACTGCAATGGCAAGTCCCAGCCTTTCCTCCAAATGCGCCACTGAAGATGCACCTGGGGCATCCTCCTCAGACCTCAAACCCCAGATGCCCGACCAGAATGGAGCAAATCCTGTTTGTAGCTTCAAAACAGAAGCCCAACACTCCTTAGCATCTCCACAACTGCGACCCTAGTCTGAGCTGAGCCATGTCGCTCTTACTGCAGGAGGCTCCTCCTTGGTCTCCCCGCCCCACCCTCCCCTCCTCTACACACACAATTCTCCACAAAACAGCCAGTGGGATCCTGCCCAGTATCTCCTCTACATTCGCCCATGCATCTCAGCTCACTTTCGTAAAAGCTTACGTCTGATGAGGCTCCCTTTTTCTCTGACCTCACATTCCACTCTCCTTCAGCCACTCTGGCCTCTACTCTCCAACACCCCAGGAAACACCTACCCAGGAAAGTGTTAGCACTGCTCTTCCCTCTGCCCAGAGTACTCTTCCTTGTCACTGGGCCCAGCAAGCAGCCCTCAGGACCCATTGGCCATGACCATTCGCCACATCCGTCACAGCTGAGCAACGCCCCCTTGAAATCTTCCCCCCGACACACACCCTATCCCACACCCGGCTTTGACTTGATTCTCCCTCGCTCTCCTGGTCTGCTTCCTGCTCAGCCTTCAGTCTCGTTTGGAGAGTCCTCTATGGTTCTCAGGTCCTTCCCAGCTCATTTTCCTTGTGGGTGACTCTGAATAATGACGTCCATCGGGCTGGTCCTCCAGATGCCCCACTGAGGATCCCCGCTGGTCCTCTGGGATCCTAGGCGCCCAAACTGACCAGCAACCCTGCTCCCCACAGGGAGAAACCTGTGCTTGCCCAGCTGTTCCCTGTCTCCTGAGAGGACTGCCACTTCAGCTCCTCCCCAGGACAAGACATAAAGTCACCCTGGACTCATCCCTCTTCTCCCCCTAAATCTATGGTCACTCGGTCCTAGGGGTCTACCTCCTGAGTGAGGAAGACCCTGGCAGGCGATGAGTCTGTGCAGACTGTCAGAGGCTCATAAGTCATGATACAGTTTTAATCTTATTCAGAGAGAGATGGGAGCCATGGGAGGGTTTTGCGCGAAGAAGGGATACGATCTGACTTGGGTTTTAAAAGTTTCCCTTTGGCTGCTGTGTGGGGAACAGGCCGTGGCAGGCAGGATCAGAGGCAGCGAGGCCAGGGAAGAGGCTATGGCAATAGTCAGTGAGATGATGGTGGCCTGGACTGGGGTGCTGGCAGTGGAGATGACAAGAAGAGGTGGGATTTTGTATCTATTATGAAGGTAGGGTCCACGGGACTTGCACAGGACTTGGACTGGGGTGGAGGATGTGGTCATGAGGAAAGAGGAAAGAAGGAGGACTTGGAGGTTTGGGCCTGAGCACCTGGGAGGATGATGGGACCATTTAGTCAGAGGGGAGCTGACCAGAATTCCATTTGGACATGTCAGATTTGAAGTGTCTGTTATGCATCTCCCCCTCGAAGACGTTATAGACCCCAGGCTGGGTCAGGCGCCTCCTCTGGGCTCGCAGAGCCCCATGTATGCCCCCACCCCAACCGGATCATGACGGTATCCTTCGTGGTGACAGGCCTGTCTCCCCCGTTGTACTGTGAGCTCACTAACGGCAGGGACAGGGTCTGCTTCGGCCACCACTGACTTCTCCTGCCTCGCACGGGATTTGGCACAGGGTCGGTGCTCAGGAAAGATCTGTAGGCTGAGGGAATAATAAATGCGCCCGGAAGACGAGACCCAGACCCCCAGGGATGCCTCCGAATCGCAGCCTTGTCGGAAGGACGGAGAGTGTGTAACATCATTCTATCAAAACAGAGGTTCCAGGACAGAGTAGGGACCTCCCGGACGTACCCAGTTGGAAGCGGGGGCAGGGAAATGGTCGAATTCCAACCTGGGGGAGGGGATGGGCGAGCAAGAGACAGGCCGGACCGCAGTGCCCCAAGTGGGGATCCCGGTCAGAAGGCCTCTGCGATACAAGCGTTGGGAAATCAAAGGCGAGTGGCTTCACCCCCAGAGCGACCCTCAACCCTCACACGGCACCGCAACAAAGAGCGGGCGCTCACGAGCCGACCAGCTGGTGAGGAAATACCTGAGTAGAACGCGGTGCTGGATGGTCCAAACTGCCGAACACGCGGAACTCCGGCGCGGAAGTGGCTCCAGAGACTACGACTACCACAAGGCCTTGGGGGCTGTCTTGCCTACGACTCCCAGAACCCCATGCAACAGCTCCACCCGAAGCACCTGTGGTTACTGGGCCCTCGGCCTTCAACTCCCAGCAGTCCCTGCGGCCCCTTGTTTCACTCTGCCTACCACTCCCAAAATGCACTGCCTTGTTTCCGTCTGCGCCTGCGCACGGGCAAGGGACGTGGGGCGTGTACTGGTTGCTGTGGTAGTAATCTGTTACCATGCAGGACGCTTAAAAGGCGAAATGGCTGTATTCGGATGATCTGCTTTAGTGGGATTATTGTAGGCTTTTAGAGGGATTATAGAGCATATTATTTTTACCCTTTGAGGTGGGGTTGCGGGTGGGAATTGAAGGTGGGAGTGCGGGGTTTGGTCGTGGGTGTAAAAGGAGACAGCGCATGCGCAGCGCAGAGAGCCTGAAGGTGGGGGTTCGGAATGGATCTAGGCATTGCCTGCAGGGGTGGTAATGGTGCGTGTGGACGCGTAGGGTGGGGAGAGGGAGCAGTGTGTGTGTAAGCTGAGGTCTCTGCGCGTGCATCAGCCCTAGAGCCTCCGACTTCTGAGACTGAGGGTTCCAAAGACTCAGATCCCTGAAACTCACTAGTCCCTAGGCCCCGTGTCATAGAGACTCGGAGTTCCAGTGACCCAGAGACCCAGACCCCTGAGACTTCAAGCAGCCGAGAGAACCAGGACTCCAGAGACAACTCTCCCCAACCAAAGCCCAGAGACCTGGAGAGTTCACCCCCCAGGCCCTCAAAACTGAAATCTGAGGGCCAAAGAAGACCAAAGATTCAGATCTCTTAGACGCAGAAGACCAGAGATCCTGGGCCTCAGAAACTGAGACCCAGGGTCCCCAAACCAGATCCCCCCAAAACTGGTGCTCAAAGGTCCTCACGATGAAGGGACCAGAGCCTCAGGGATCCCAAGACAGAGGTGCACAGCCCCAGGGTGTGCGGGTCTGTGGTGAGTGATGTCACGAGTGATTTGACAGGCACTGTGTAGGCCATGTTTTCCTCATGATAGGGGAGCCATTATGCCTTAGTGTAAGATGAGATGGCCTCCATGAAGTCACCGTCAAGGGTCATCATGGGCCAGTTCTTGTCATCACTGGCTCGTTGGTTCATCTGTTGAATGGTCATTTCCTGAGGTCTCCTTGTGCCAGGCTGGCCCTGTGCTAGGTTCTGGTGACACAAGCGAAGTCACAGTCCTCTTAGCCCTCTGCCTGGTGGGGGTGAGAGAGTCATAGTTAATACAGGTGACAAAGCTTGACGTCGGTGTTAGGAGCTCTGGAAGCTGAGCCTCAATCACTGCTAGCCAGGGCATCACGGGAAAAAATTCAAGCAGAGGTTATTAGACAGTGTGCTTAGCACTTTACATGCACTGTCTCAGTTTGCTCATCTGTAGAATGGGGATAATAATAGCAATACCTGCCTTAAAGGGCTTATGTGAAGTCAAATTGAATTAACAACACCTACAAAGAGTGGTTTGTGCTCTAGAAAGTTTATTCCAGTTGCCAAATTAGAAAGAACTGGTAAAATGAATCTCCAGAGGTGGTGAATTTAAAGCATTTTGGGGCACTTCCCTTGGAGATCCAGAGGCTAAGACTCTGCGCTTCCACTGCAGGAGGCACAGGTTCGATCCCTGGTCGAGGAACTGAGATCCCACATACTGCGCGGCACAGCCAAAAAAAAGAAAAGAAAAGCACTTTCACTCAAGATAAAGTGGAAGCAAAATAAATGCCCAACCTCATTTGAAAGTTTTATTAAATATAGCACATTTCCTCTTTTTAAAAAAAACAGTGAGGGGACTTCCCTGGTGGTGCAGTGTTTAAGACTTTGCACTCCCAATGCAGGGGGCCGGGGTTTGATCCCTGGTCAGGAAACTAGATCCCACATGCGTGCCTCAAATAAGAGTTCGCATGCCACAACTAAGGAGCCTGCCTGCCACATCTAAGACCTGGTGCAACTAACTAACTAACTAACTATATATATATATATATATATATATATATATATATATATTTTTTTTTTTTTTTTAAGTGAGAATTGAATTTAGAAGACTAGGTAATTGCCCAGAAAAATAAAATAGAACAACATAAAATCATACTTCCAATAGGACATATAATAGAGAAAACAAATGCCCAGAAAAAAAAAGAAGGAAGTCTACCAAGGTGGTAATCAAATGTCGTTGGCTCTGGGAAGCTGGACCTGGTGTTGATGATGTTATAGACCATACCGTGACACCATTTAACCTCATGTGTGGGATGGTGCTTTGCATAGAGTAGGTGTTCAATCAACATTCAAGAATGAGGGAAAGTCAGCTGATCCCTCCAAAACCTAGATCTAAACATTCTATTTAATAAGTACAAATCATACCTAGTAAGGTCTTATGAGAAAACATATTTTAACATTTTTCCTGAAATATAATAGTTAATGAGGATTATGAATACTTCTCACTATTATTATAATTACTTGCTGAAACTGACGGTCCCTCCCCAATGAGTTCCTATCAGTTCATTTCTCAATCTCTCTACATAAGGCCCAATACTCTCCTGTAATCCTTCTCTCTCTCCCCATAAGTGTCCTCAACCTTAGGCCCCATGGTCTTTCCTGTAGACTCACTGTCCTTTATTCCCTTAAGCAATTAGAACAGGCAGACATGCAGAAGCATCCCTGAGGATGAACTAGGAAGCAGAGAGAAAAATAAGAGAACCCCAGCCCACTGATAAGAGGGTCTTCTTGTCCCCCAATCCTTTTCTGTTAAGAAGACCTTATCTTTTCACCACTCCAGGTTATATGGCTTCCTTCCTGGCCTGAGTCTTGGATCCCATGCTTGAGGGATCAGACCCCTCCTGGAGCTGGGCGATTTTTGAGCTCAGGACCTGGCTCTATTTCAGCACCACGGGCAGCGCCACCCTGTTGCTTGGAGCTCACCAGCCTGACAAAGACGCCACAGGTTATCTTCACTGAAGGCTTCAAGTTACCATTTAAAAGTCATCCTTTAAATACAGTATGTGGGGGAATTCCCTGGCGGTCCAGTAGTTAGGACTCGGTGCTTTCACTGCCATGGCCCGTGTTCCATCTCTGGTCATGGAACTAAGATCCCGCAAGCTGTGCATTGCAGCAAATAAATAAATACATACGTACCTACATACGTACTTACATACAGTACGTGAGAAAATTGGTGGTGAGTAAGCCTCCAATTTCCCTTTTCCCCTATTAGCTATAATTCGTGTGGGCTGCTAGTTCGGCTATGTATTGCTGCACAGCAAACCACCCTAAAACTCAATGGCCCCAACAATCATTTAATGCTATCTCATGGTGCTATGAATTGGCCAGAGACCAGGTGGGCAGTTTCACTTCTAGTTTTGCCTTGAGCTCTTTCAGGCAGTCATGTTGAAACTGTGGCTGGGGCTGGGGATGAAGGTCTAAGCCCTCAGGGTTTCTCTGTGTAGCATCTCTTTCCATCAGAGTCCCCTGGATTGCTTACACAGATACCCAGGGATCCATGAGGCAGGAGCAGAAGCTGCCAGGCCTTCTTAATATCTGAGTCATACAAATCTCAGGACGTTTTGTCCTCCACATTTTATTGGGAAAAGCAGTCACGGGCCCAATCCAGATTCGAGAGGAAGGCATAATAAATTCCATTATGTAATAAAAGGATAACCATGTTTGCATAAGGCAGGGGTAGGATTGTTTGGAGTGGTCTTTGGAGACTAGTACCTACAGCTACTCATCCGTCTGTCAGCTGCACCCTCTCTCTGTTGGGGGGATTACCCCTTTCTGTCAGGGGTGTTCAGAAAATGAAATGGGACCATATCTGTAAAAGGGTAGCACAAAACTTTCACCTTCCCTGAGCTTGGACCGGTGTCGACAGCCTATGTTATTGAATGTCCATAGGACATTCCTGAGGGTTGCCAGAAGGTCAAGGAGGAGAAACAGAGGTCTTCCTTTCCCCTGAGCGCTTCCTCGCAGGCAGACCTGGACCCTTTCCAGCACATCTGACATATTGACCCTCCTGAATACAGACCTAGGGTCCCTGTTCTTTGTGATCAGCTCCCCCTCCTCTGCCCCAGAGCTGCAGACATCCTGAGTCAGCACTCGACTCTGAATCAGCACCACGGACAGCGGCATCGCCCTTTCCCAGGGATCCCCGGGATCCCTAGGAGCAAGTCTTGGGCAGAGGCCCGACCCCTGCTGGGGCAGAGGTGGGGGTGGTCCCGAACAGAGCACAGAACTTGGTTGCTGGTGAAGGATCCCCAGCACAGTGGGAGAGTAAGTGGGATGGAGAACATAGTACCTGAGAGTCCAGGAGCACCTGCAGAATTCACATACCCTGTGAGTGCCTGAAAGTCCCTACTATGTCTTCCTGGCCTATTCCTCTCTGAGAATTCACCTTCTAGTCCAGAAGAACAAGAGCCCCACCCATCACCTGCCTTTGTTTCTCCCATCACAGGCATTTTCCCTATGGCACTGAAATTGTCACGTAACCTGTCCCCCCAATCAGATGCTGCTTTCCTCAAGAGCAAGAGCTGAATCTTTACTAGAAACCTAAAGGCACAGTGTGGATGGTGGATGAGTGACTGAAATGTCTTCCCTCGCCTCACTGTAAGAGTAGACAATTCTTCCTTCTCATATTAACATACACTTCTTATCACCCAGCCAATGAACCCTGGGCAAAGATTGATGAAGTGTGTCCCTGTGCAGTCCATGGTGCATGAGACAGGGCTCCTGTGTGATTTGGACAATCCACTTGCCCACTCTGAACCTCAGTGTCTTCTTCTGCGAATTGAATAACTGGGGCTAAAAGTCCTCCTAGCTCTGATGTCCTGTGGTCATAAGTTCCTCTTTCGCACACTGTTAGATCCTCTGTGGCTTCCCTGTGTCTCTCCTCCAATTATTCTGCTTTTCTTTGCAAATTGAGGACCATGGGAAATAGTTTGGGCATAACCCCGCGCCTCTGAGCACAGAGATGCTGTAACTACC